TCCATGCGGGGGTTTGACTATAAACTGGATTTATAATGGGAGAGCAGTATTAAAACCCACTGCCCCCGCTGCTAGCATCAATGAGCCCATCTCTGTTCCATAACAGGATTTGTCCTCTGCTTTATTACAAAGGGAGGCCTGTCTTCTGAAAGGCTAGATATCCCGGCTGGCATATAATACGCTGACAAGACACTCTACTGTTCATCCGCCCTCCTTCTCCTCATCCCACTCTTTCTTTTTTTTTAAATGTGTCAAATCCAGCCCGTGAAGCCTGTAGAGAGTCTCAGCTCTGTGAAACGTCTCCTGATGCTTTCTATATTGAGTTGTACCATTTGATTAATGCTACAAGTGAAATGTGAAACGGCTATTAGTATCAAGGTTGCCGTTGAGTTCCTACAATTTAAATTTGCAATGCGTTACCCACCTCAACCTAAATTCTGTTCATCTCTGTGGTACTGTAGTGGAAGAGGAAAACTCTAGTATAAATATCTAAATACATAGGCACATACTTTCAAAACTAAATTTATGGCTAAATAACACCAGAGGCATAAAAATGCATTTTTGTTATTTTGGTGAACTGACTCTTTAAAATATGTTCATGTGTGGTGTCTACAGGCCCAGGAATCTGAGACACATCCCAAATAATCAGAACATTTCTCTCCTAGCTAGCCACTATTATATCAAGGCAAAATTACCAAAAATACACCAACGTCTAAGTTTATTTATTTGCTCGATTTTGTCTCCTATTGCCAGATTCTTTTTTTTTAATTATGTTTTTATTATGTTCATGCCTGGATCTTTCCTTCAGTCTCTTTGTCCAGAATTGTATTCTTATTCTTTCCCACCTCTGTCTGTGTCTCTCTTCTCTGTCTGTTTGGGTCTCTCTTTCTGAATGCATTGTGATTATGCCGTATGAGTCTTCCCTCTAAAGGGAGTTATTGTCACGGACCTTGGGGAAATGAGAGTTGAGGATATTACTCTGTGTGTTTGTGTGTGTGTGTGTGTGTGTGTGTGTATGTGTGTGTTTCACCTCAGAAACATTCTGATGATCCTGGCCAAGGATGTAAGCCGTGTGAAAAATAGAACCTATTTGAATGCCGACTCAAATACATTTGCTCTTACTGAGCTGCTGTGCTTCACAGACGCTTTGAGAGACTTTTGCTAGAAAGTGCCCTCTTCAGATAGGATGGTAAAGAATTCATTGAGTTAATTTCACTCACACTCATTTATTTCTCCATCTGTCTCAGGCGTCTGCACTCCAACAATCTCCACTGTGACTGTCACCTGTCCTGGCTCTCTGATTGGCTCAGAGCCAGACGGGGCTTGGCTCCCTTCACCCAGTGCATGGCCCCCGCCCACATGAGAGGCCTCAACGTCCCAGATGTGCAGAAGAAGGATTTTGTCTGCAATGGTGAGCTCAACATCAGCACACATCCACACGACATCCGTTTAAATATCAAAGAGTGTGGCTGAAGGACACACTGAAGCACCATTCTAGTGCTCATTGCAACGTGATGATGGGACTCCTTCTTCAAGAGTCAAATATGCCATGCTTTTAGTTTCACCCAACATTTGTTTTAAATTGTCTCTGGAACAAAACCCATACAAATATTTTGGGAGAAAAGCTGCCTGTTTTTCACTCCATTGCAGCTACAAGAAATTGACACGCGATAGTACTTTAAGAGTGACATCGAGCTTTTAAAGTAATGTTTGACTGAGAACTATTCAGCAGCACCAATATACAAAACATACAGATTGGATTCAAGTGGAAGTCCCCGATTGACTTTAGTGCCGTTGACAATCACTCTTTGACGTAGAGGTCTACAAAACATGGAATGCAATGACCAGGCCATTATTAGAGGCAACATTGTTATCATCTACAGACAGCTCAGCGTTGAGTTTATAGCACTGAAACAATTACACCATGTAGAGCGCATAATCAGCTAAAAGGCCAGGATAAAAGCAGTATTGTTATCAGCTGCAGATAGGCACTGTTTATAGGTCTCTGATTCAGCTCCTGTTTTAATAGACTGTCAGGCTGTGCTCTCTTTATTAGCCTTTAGCCTTGTCTTGTCTCCCTACGTGCTCTATGGCAGACTTCCTCTTACTGCTCTTTTCTCTATTTCCATCCCTTTTGTGTCAATAACACCCTGTTTTCTCTTGTTCTTTCTTTATTTCATCCCTTCTTTTCTTTCTTCCTCCTTTACTATGTCATGCTCCGTTCTCTCTCCCCATGTTTTTACCCTTCCATCCTCCGGCTCATATCAAGCAATATTTTTGTGTACGTACTGTGGCCAGATGATATTTAGTGCTGATATTCAGTTCATTTTGCAATTGCTGCCCGTTTCATACCCAAAAAATGTTATGCTTCCCCCAGAGAATTTATTCTTGGCAGGATGTGAATACTTCGGAAACAATGCAGAGACCATCATGGGACACTAAAACACCCTGAAGCTGACTCATCTCATTGAGAGAAACTGGGATAAAATATACAAAAACACCATAAAGAATTAATAATAAAACAGAAACTAAAATATGATTGCAGAAATTGTAGCAGGAGTAATAACTGTAGCTGCAGGCATGAAATAATTTCCGATCATCCTCCATTTGGCAGTAAACCAGCAAAAGCAATCTCATATTCAAACAAGTTGACGTTTATCTCTGTTTGATGTTTTGTATCTATCTATCTATCTATCTATCTATCTATCTATCTATCTATCTATATATGCTATACATATATTACATCTGTATATTGCTGTCTACAGGTCCAGCACAGACGGAGCCGAGGACTTGCCTTCCTCAGGTTGCCGTGTGTCCACCCAGCTGCAGCTGTAACAACAACATAGTGGACTGTCGTCGTAAAGCCCTCACTGAAATACCAGCCAACCTCCCTGAGAGCATCGTGGAGATGTAAGACTGCTTTATTTTTACCTAAATGCTACGTGTGACAGGTGTGTATCAACTGACTTTTTCATGGGAGAGCACATTTTACATATCATACTCTTTCTATTAATTCACTGAACACAACATCTTTAACTGTTATACTGTACTGGTTATATGCACAAGTTGTAGAGATTTGATTCTAGTCTTCTGAAGGAGACATTTTGAACTATTTGTAAGATTAAAAATAGCCACTTCAAAACTGTTCGGAATCCAGAGTTCGAATGAAAAGTAAACTTACGATACTTCATCCAAACACACACACACACAGTTTTGCTCACATACACGCAACGCACTCAGTTTCACTGTAATCTTTAGACGCTTTGACTCAACATGAACTAGACCTAACATCTAACCCGATCTCTGGCACACTGTGTTTGAGATTGCAGCAAAACTATTATTTTACATACTCATACACTTTGCCTCCTCTTCTCTCTCCCTCCTCCTTTCTTTCTCTTACTCACATTTAACACACACACCCCCCCCACCACAGTGGGACGTGTTTGATATCTGTATTGATCGTTGTACCCTGTTTGTTTGTACAGAGGACAGCTGGTTGATTGCTCTCTGAGTAAGGGAGCAATTTCTCCCCCGCAGTGCTACGCCAATACCTCTATACCTATCCAGCATAAGTAATAGATTCACACCCACATACACACCAATGCTCTCGCATATATGCAGACACACCAGTTTTTGTATGCGCAAACAAAGTATGTACTTGGGCACAAATTACAGGTACACACACACACAATCTTGGAGGGTCAAACACACACACACACACACACACACACATAAAGATGCATTGTGATTGAGCCACAGGCACCAAAACATTACTGATTAAATCTTGGACACACAAACTCACAAACAAAAAACACACACAGCATTAGCATTTGAACCATTAATAAATGCTGTTGCGGCAGCCAGAAACAATAGAGCATAATAGAATGATGTATTGTCAGTCCTACAATAGGAACAAAGTCATCTGAATGCTGGCGGCAAGGATCACTGCCAAATGTGTGTGTGCGTGTGTGTGTGTGTGTGCATGTGTGTGTATGTATACAGCATGCAAGCGTGTGTTTGTGTGTTAATCTGTTCCTCCAAGTCAAATACATTCATAAAGCAATTTAGCAAAACAGGTTTGTCTCAAGGCGTTTAAATTCATTAGGACATTGACAGTGTGTGTGTGTGTGTGTGTGTGTGTGAGTGCTCACTCAGCCCATTGTGAAAATGCTCACCTGCCAAACCCATCTCCTGTTTCAGTTGCCGATCAATCGCCGCCTCACCTTATAGATTTTTCATATTGCCTCTTAAAACGTCTTCCCTTTAATACATCCTTTGATATTGAGCCTCTAAGTGTCTTTGACTCAACCTTGTTTTAAAGCCCCCAGATATCATTTGTGACTTGTTGTGTGTACAGATTGTCTCCGTCAATATCTGTACATCCCTGATTTATTTTGACCCCTTGTAGAAATAAGGTGTTGTTGCTTGCCAGGGGCGTGAGGTGTGGGAATTTAGAAATCGACATGAGCAAAGACACAGCCACCTGTAAGGTGTGTGTTGCATTCAAAAGCAGGACCACGTTTCATTTTAAAAACACAGTTACAAGGTGGCAGTCACTAAATTGAATCCCTGCAAATGTGATCAATATTTGGCTTTAGGTCCATTTATAATTTATCGGCGGTATTAAGCTGTGACAAACAGTGATTAAAGACAAGATAGACAGACAGACAGACAGACAAGACAGACAGACAGACAGAAAGAGAGGGATTGAAAGTGGAGGTCAAGAGCAGGACTGGGTGGGGTCTGAAGAGGAGGAGGAGAGGAAGAAGAAGGGTGGATTAGTTCCCATTTATCATTCTGACAGCTGACCCTGTGGCTGGCCTTGGGACCTCACCGCATCCTCCTCCTCCTCTCCTCTTGATTTTTCCTCTCTTCTCCCCTGTTGTCCACACTTCTCCAATCCTCTGATTTCTCCATTGTTGTCCTAGTTTCTCTCTCCCCTTCTATGTTTTCTCTTTTATCCTGTTCTTTTCTTCCTTTCATTTTCTCTAATTTTGTGCTACACGCCTATGCATTTTATTCACATTGCTTCCTCTGCCTCCTCTCCTTTCCTCCTTTTCAAGAATAGATAAGTTATATCGATGAATGTGTAGCCTAGATCATCAGGAGAGCAGAAACTAAACTACAGTACATTTCCCCAAACGTAGGCTTTGCGCCTAGTTCTGATAGCTCCCCACATGATAATGGATAGAATACTGCCAGTGTGGTGTAATGAGTGTGCAGTCTTCAGAGAAAGAGATGTGATAACTTCCCTTTGGCCCTTAGCCTGAAGGGCCCTACTGTGTTCATGAATACAGTCTGACTGCATCTAAAGAATATATTGTGGCTCCATCAAAGGGATATTGACCCACGTGTAAATTGTGCACTGAAACCTGTATTTCACTGTGGGTGAGACGTAAAGTTTGATGGATCTAACTAAGCAAACAGTCCAGGTTTTGGTCACTCTGATTCTCATGTTGGTCCCATTTCAGCTTCCATTACTGCTGAGCTGCAAAATACAACTCAACATTTCACACTGACTGACCTTGACCGGCCCCTGCTGCAAAGCACTGACCAGCCTGCAGAAATATTTAGTAGATTCTGATTGGAACAGCCACCCTTTGAACTTTCTGTGCCCTTGTGCTGGACTTAGACTGTGGGGTAAACAGGACTTCATAATAACCAATGACCTCTCTGTCCTTGTTGAAATTCAACATCGAAAGGAAAGAAAATTAATGAAACGAAACTTATGTTGAAATTGTATTAAAATGTTCTCATTGTATGTTTTAGGGGTAATGTGCTTTTCTAATTAATTTGAAGGGATTGTTTAAGATCATCTAATCTCACCCCTTCTCCCTCTCTCTCTCTCTCTCTCTCTCTCTCTCTCTCTCGCTCTCTCTCTCTCTCTCTCTCTCTCTCTCTCAGTCGCTTGGAGCAGAACTTGATTAAAAGTGTCCCAGCAGGAGCCTTTTCTTCCTACAAGAAGCTGAAGAGGATGTAAGTCTGTGTGGATGAATCTGCATACACAGTCTCAAACACACACACAAATGCATGTGAATTCACACAAGTTGGCAAGCATATAATCATGCACTGATATGCATGAACATGACTCACATTAAGCAATCTTCTTTTACTGGCATGGATGCATTATTTTATTTACGTATTCATTAATTTAACCAGTTAAGTCCTGCTCAGATTAACTACAACAATGGCATCTTCTGCATAATAACGAGTATAAATCTCATGCGCATTCAATTCTAAATTATTAATGTGAACAGAAAATAAAGCAGACCAGGGGCACTCCAAGGTTAAATACAGTAATCCAGCATAAACTGAGACAATTCACTTTTACACATTGAGTCCAATCTGAGATCATTTGTAAACCAAAGGTCTGTTAATCAACCTCAGCGTTAGCAAGACATGATCTGCTATGTCATAGGCTTTGAACAAACTCTTGTCTAGGGCTTTCGTTATATGATTCACAATATTTACTGCAGCAGTTAAAGTTTTTTTTTTAATTGAAGCTAATAGTCAGACAAATTTACATTAGCGAACGGGGAAAAGATGGAAATACACAAGCATTGAAACAATCAAATCTGCAGCAACTTTAACAAAATAAGTCAAAAAGAAAAGAGCCCTTCGTTCACATGTCTGTCTAAGTCCGAACCAACACGCACATACTCGAACAGTTCGTCTGTTCGTCTGAAAAATGTCCTTATCGTGCAAATGGCTGAAAATGCAAGACTTTCAGAACTGTGCAAGGTTGTAAAGTTATCCACCTACGTACCTACCCACACACACACACACACACACACACACACACACACACACACATACACACACAGATGGAGTTTTAACCTCCACAGATGTATTAAATAATATATCTTACAGCGGTGGAACTGACATGAACTCTTTCTCTCTCTCTCTCTCTCTCTCTCTCTCTCTCTCTGTCTCCTGTCGCATCACTTCTTTACCTCGCTCTGTCCATCACACTCTCTCTCTCTCTCTGTCTCTCTCCTTCATACTTACACATTCAGCTCTTATTACTTTTTTTAACTCAAGTCCCCGTACCTTGACCTCTGCTGATGTATTCTCCCATGATCATTTGTCAGACAGTTCTAGGACATCATTCACACAGAATGAACCCCATCACTGTGTAATACAGTAATACACTTATCTTCCCCCCCCCAGTGACTTGAGTAAGAACCAGATTTCTGACATTGCCGACGATGCTTTCAGTGGCCTCCGCTCACTCACCTCACTGTAAGTATGACACGTGTACATGCCAACACACACACATATCCAGACAGGAAAGTAATTGCATTTCCAGACATTTAGAAAATAAAAATATTGTCGCTGCGGATGTTGACAACCGGACCACAGAGCTGCGGAGCGTGCGTAAGCGCTGTATGTGGGTCTTTGTATTTGCTTGTGTGTGCGTGTAATTGTGCGTGCGTGTGTGTGTGTGTT